TCATACAAACATTCGGTCTATGAGTGTAGTCCTACAAACATTCGATCTATAAGTGTAGTCCTACAAACATTCGGTCTATGAGTGTAGTCCTACAAACATTCGGTCCATAAGTGTAGTCCTACAAACATTCGATCTATAAGTGTAGTCCTACAAACATTCGGTCTATGAGTGTAGTCCTACAAACATTCGGTCCATAAGTGTAGTCCTACAAACATTCGATCTATAAGTGTAGTCATACAAACATTCGGTCTATGAGTGTAGTCCTACAAACATTCGGTCTATGAGTGTAGTCCTACAAACATTCGGTCTATGAGTGTAGTCCTACAAACATTCGGTCTATGAGTGTAGTCCTACAAACATTCGGTCCATGAGTGTAGTCGTACAAACATTCGGTCTATGAGTGTAGTCCTACAAACATTCGGTCTATGAGTTTAGTCCTACAAACATTCGGTCTATAAGTGTAGTCCTACAAACATTCGGTCTATGAGTGTAGTCCTACAAACATTCGGTCTATGAGTGTAGTCCTACAAACATTCGATCTATAAGTGTAGTCGTACAAACATTTGGTCGATGAGTGTAGTCGTACAAACATTCGGTGGATGAGTGTAGTCCTACAAACATTCGGTCTATAAGTGTAGTCTTACAAACATTCGGTCTATGAGTGTAGTCGTACAAACATTCGGTCCATGAGTGTAGTCCTACATACATTCGGTCTATGAGTGTAGTCCTACAAACATTCGGTCTATGAGTGTAGTCCTACAAACATTCGGTCTATGAGTGTAGTCCTACAAACATTCGATCTATAAGTGTAGTCATACAAACATTCGGTCTATGAGTGTAGTCCTACAAACATTCGGTCTATGAGTGTAGTCCTACAAACATCTAGTCCATGAGTGGAGTCATACAAACATTCGGTCTATGAGTGTAGTCGTACAAACATTCGGTCTATGAGTGTAGTCCTACAAACATTCGGTCCATGAGTGTAGTCCTACAAACATTCGATCTCTAAGTGTAGTCATACAAACATTCGGTCTATGAGTGTAGTCCTACAAACATTCGGTCTATGAGTGTAGTCCTACAAACATTCGGTCTATGAGTGTCGTCCTACAAACATTCGATCTATAAGTGTAGTCATACAAACATTCGGTCTATGAGTGTAGTCCTACAAACATTCGGTCTATGAGTGTAGTCCTACAAACATTCGATCTATAAGTGTAGTCATACAAACATTCGGTCTATGAGTGTAGTCCTACAAACATTCGGTCCATGAGTGTAGTCCTACAAACATTCGATCTATAAGTGTAGTCATACAAACATTCGGTCTATGAGTGTAGTCCTACAAACATTCGGTCTATGAGTGTAGTCCTACAAACATCTAGTCCATGAGTGGAGTCATACAAACATTCGGTCTATGAGTGTAGTCGTACAAACATTCGGTCTATGAGTGTAGTCCTACAAACATTCGGTCCATGAGTGTAGTCCTACAAACATTCGATCTCTAAGTGTAGTCATACAAACATTCGGTCTATGAGTGTAGTCCTACAAACATTCGGTCTATGAGTGTAGTCCTACAAACATTCGGTCTATGAGTGTCGTCCTACAAACATTCGATCTATAAGTGTAGTCATACAAACATTTGGTCTATGAGTGTAGTCCTACAAACATTCGGTCTATGAGTGTAGTCCTACAAACATTCGATCTATAAGTGTAGTCATACAAACATTCGGTCTATGAGTGTAGTCCTACAAACATTCGGTCCATGAGTGTAGTCCTACAAACATTCGATCTATAAGTGTAGTCATACAAACATTCGGTCTATGAGTGTAGTCCTACAAACATTCGATCTATAAGTGTAGTCATACAAACATTCGGTGGATGAGTGTAGTCCTACAAACATTCGGTCTATAAGTGTAGTCATACAAACATTCGGTCTATAAGTGTAGTCCTACATACATTCGGTCTATAAGTGTAGTCATACAAACATTCGGTCTATGAGTGTAGTCCTACAAACATTCGGTCCATGAGTGTAGTCCTACAAACATTCGGTCTATGAGTGTAGTCCTACAAACATTCGGTCTATGAGTGTAGTCCTACAAACATTCGATCCATGAGTGTAGTCATACAAACATTCGGTCTATGAGTGTAGTCCTACAAACATTCGGTCTATGAGTGTAGTCCTACAAACATTCGGTCTATGAGTGTAGTCCTACAAACATTCGGTCTATGAGTGTAGTCGTACAAACATTCGGTGGATGAGTGTAGTCCTACAAACATTCGGTCTATAAGTGTAGTCCTACATACATTCGGTTTATGAGTGTAGTCCTACAAATATTCGGTCCATGAGTGTAGTCGTACGAACATTCGATCCATGAGTGTATTCCTACAAACATTCGGTCTATAAGTGTAGTCCTACATACATTCGGTCTATAAGTGTAGTCATACAAACATTCGGTCTATGAGTGTAGTCCTACAAACATTCGGTCTATGAGTGTAGTCCTACAAACATTCGGTCCATGAGTGTAGTCCTACAAACATTCGGTCTATGAGTGTAGTCCTACAAACATTCGGTCCATGAGTGTAGTCCTACAAACATTCGGTCCATGTGTGTAGTACTACAAACATTCGGTCTATGAGTGTAGTCGTACAAACATTTGGTCGATGAGTGTAGTCGTACAAACATTCGGTGGATGAGTGTAGTCCTACAAACATTCGGTCTATAAGTGTAGTCCTACATACATTCGGTCTATAAGTGTAGTCATACAAACATTCGGTCTATGAGTGTAGTCCTACAAACATTCGGTCTATGAGTGTAGTCCTACAAACATTCGGTCTATGAGTGTAGTCCTACAAACATTCGGTCCATGAGTGTAGTCCTACAAACATTCGGTCTATGAGTGTAGTCCTACAAACATTCGGTCCATGAGTGTAGTCCTACAAACATTCGGTCTATGAGTGTAGTCCTACAAACATTCGGTCTATGAGTGTAGTCCAACAAACATTCGGTCTATAAGTGTAGTCCTACAAACATTCAGTCCATAAGTGTAGTCCTACAAACATTCGGTCTATGAGTGTAGTCCTACAAACATTCGGTCTATGAGTGTAGTCCTACAAACATTCGGTCTATGAGTGTAGTCCTACAAACATTCGGTCTATGAGTGTAGTCCTACAAACATTCGGTCTATGAGTGTAGTCCTACAAACATTCGGTCTATGAGTGTAGTCGTACAAACATTCGGTCTATGAGTGGAGTCCTACAAACATTCGGTCTATGAGTGTAGTCCTACAAACATTCGGTCTATGAGTGGAGTCCTACAAACATTCGGTCCATGAGTGTAGTCCTACAAACATTCGGTCCATGAGTGTAGTCCTACAAACATTCAGTCCATGAGTGTAGTCCTACAAACATTCGGTCCATGAGTGTAGTCGTACAAACATTCGGTCCATGAGTGTAGTCCTACAAACATTCGGTCCATGAGTGTAGTTCTACAAACATTTGGTCCATGAGTGTAGTCCTACAAACATTCGGTCTATGAGTGTAGTCCTACAAACATTCGGTCTATGAGTGTAGTCCTACAAACATTCGGTCTATGAGTGTAGTCATACAAACATTCGGTCTATAAGTGTAGTCATACAAACATTCGATCTATAAGTGTAGTCCTACAAACATTCGGTCTATGAGTGTAGTCCTACAAACATTCGGTCCATGAGTGTAGTCCTACAAACATTCGGTCCATGAGTGTAGTCATACAAACATTCGGTCTATGAGTGTAGTCCTACAAACATTCGGTCTATGAGTGTAGTCCTACAAACATTCGGTCTATGAGTGTAGTCCTACAAACATTCGGTCCATGAGTGTAGTCGTACAAACATTCGGTGGATGAGTGTAGTCCTACAAATATTCGGTCCATGAGTGTAGTCCTACAAACATTCGGTCTATAAGTGTAGTCATACAAACATTCGGTCCATGAGTGAAATCCTACAAACATTCGGTCTATAAGTGTAGTCCTACAAACATTCGGTCTATGAGTGTAGTCGTACAAACATTCGGTGGATGAGTGTAGTCCTACAAACATTCGATCTATGAGTGTAGTCCTACAAACATTCGGTCCATGAGTGTAGTCCTACAAACATTCGGTCTATGAGTGTAGTCCTACAAACATTCGGTCCATGAGTGTAGTCCTACAAACATTCGGTCCATGAGTGTAGTCCTACAAACATTCGGTCCATGAGTGTAGTCCTACAAACATTCGGTCCATGAGTGTAGTCCTACAAACATTCGGTCTATGAGTGTAGTCCTACAAACATTCGGTCTATGAGTGTAGTCATACAAACATTCGGTCTATAAGTGTAGTCCTACAAACATTCGGTCCATGAGTGTAGTCCTACAAACATGCGGTCTATGAGTGTAGTCATACAAACATTCGGTCTATGAGTGTAGTCATACAAACATTCGGTCTATGAGTGTAGTCATACAAACATTCGGTCCATGAGTGTAGTCGTACAAAGATGTTACTACAGTTGATTGAGATTTTAGGCTTCAGTATCCAATTGTATAAGATACTTTGGGAAGGTTTTAAAAACTATGATATCTGACTTGGTCTATGACTTCTTGTAGCTCCACTTTCTGTACTGGGGATGTGAAGTATGACCCAGTACTTTAGGCGTTAGGAGGGGGGAGGGGGTGGAGTACTGAAGATGGCCTCAGGATCTTAAAGTCTGATTGAATTATAAAGGAAAGTCAAGTCGAGGTGAGGGGCGGGGTATTTGAAAAAGTCAAAGATTCTGGCCTTTTGTCGCCGGTTTGTGACCTTGAGAACCATGTGACGTCGCCGGTTTGTGACCTTGAGAACCTGTGACGTCGCTGTGAGTCTCCTGCTGGCGGGCAGCCTCGCTATCAACTCAGCTAGGAACGCGCGGCTGGTGACGTAGGCCAAGCGCGATAACTTGCGAACACCCGAGAGAAGGAGTTACGTACCGTCTTATCGAGGTGTCATTCACCAAATAAATGAGCGATTTGAACGGCGGGTTGTAGCGGGCTATCCACACACAACAGAGGCATGGGATTTCTTTAGTAGCCATTGTGGTCACTGGCATACAACGGTCTAGCTAGTTCAATTACAAGCACAGTAAAGTAAAGGAAAAGTCAGGTGGTCTAATTCGGTAAACTCGTGTTATTTGTTTACAAGTAGAAGTGACAAACAGGTAGGTTTTAAGTTTGTTTACACACGTGATCCGTCTTTTTATAAACATTCTGTGTTTTAGGGAGCTAGGATAACTTATAATCATTTTAAGATAATTATAATCTGATGTAAGTAAGCCCTACGACTTTATACATTTGACCAAAATAAATGAATAGACAGATATAAACAACTTTCGCTGAGAGAAGGGGAATTCTAATTTCGCGAATTTTTTTTTAGCAAAATAAAAAGGTTATCTTTGCTCCATAGCACCATGTTATAAAGATTAATGATGGCATGTGTTGTTGGCATTTTAGATATAAATATTCTTCCATTTCAACACACTGAAATATGTTTGTAAAAGATAAAGCGTGGATTCGAACTCTAGATCCCGAGGGCACTTACTACTGACCACCCTGCCACTTTGCTACCAAGTGAACCTTGTTGCAATAATATTGTGTGTTTATCTCGTTAGTGAACAGCTGGTCTGATAGCTACACTGTTATAGTTGGGAGTATTTCAATCGCCTACATTAAGAGCTATACATTTGTCTAAGAGCTGTTTGAGGTGATAGCTAAATTGAATGTGTCGGTGACTAAATTAAAAGTGTCTAGTTCGATATATGTCTTAAATAATACAGTGCTGCTAAATGTAATCGGAGGGGACGGCTTTCTTTCTTGGAATTTTTAATGAGCGATTTCATACTATTTATATTTAAACCTTTTACTTTCATCACGATGTCGGGTTCATTTTTTCGTTTGTCGGTCGGTTTGTGGTCAAAGCTAGTAAAATCTATTTGCTAATGCAACGAATTATCTCTATCTCAATTCAATCAAATGCCCGACTTGTGTACAGTAATGACATTTTGACGTTCACATTTTTGACTTGTCCATTTGGACGTCGGTATGTCCGTCGTATGTTTGTTCGTCTGTATGTATGTCCGTACATCATTCAGTCCGTCTCTCTATCCGTATGTCCATGTGTGTGTCCTTCGGTATGTCGGTCTGTTCTTTCGTCAATCCACCCATTTGTCTGTCGGTCCGTCTGTCTAACGTGCCCATGTCTGTCCGTCTATGTGTGTGTCCTTCGGTATTTCGGTCTATCCTTTCGTCAATCCACCCATTTGTCTGTCGGTCCGTCTGTCTAACGTGCCCATGTCTGTCCGTCTATGTGTGTGTCCTTCGGTATTTCGGTCTATCCTTTCGTCAATCCACCCATTTGTCTGTCGGTCCGTCTGTCTAACGTGCCCATGTCTGTCCGTCTATGTGTGTGTCCTTCGGTATGTCGGTCTGTCCTTTCGCCAATCCACCCATTTGTCTGTCGGTCTGTCTGTCTAACGTGTCCATGTCTGTCTGTCATGGACGTTCTTCTTCCTAGACACTGCTATTTATAGAAACTGTTTGGTCGCCAGTTAATGGCGTCCCAAACACGCCTGGCCATTGGCTGGTTTAAATCTCCTGCCACCATAAGACCATAAGCTGGACATCTCGCTAAATCCCGTTTGTTGAAGTACGACATCTCGCTAAATCCCGTTTCTTGAAGTAGGAAATCTCGCTAAATCTCGTTTCTTGAATTCCATGGTAAACCTTCTAGACTCTTTTGGGGTTTAACTGTTAAACATAGTCTGTCAGATAGTTTAACTGTTAAACACTCTCGATTGTTGTGTAGTACAACTGTTTAACGCACTCACTCTTAGCTGCACGTGTAATAAAGCTATAGGCCGTTGTTTATTGGAACTGAGTGCTGTTATTTAACCCTTAACTCATTGTGTACGGCTATTAGACTTGTCTTAAGTACATATTTTTAAACTATAACTACTTGGGTACGGCTATTTTAACCTTTAATAAATCTACTTAACCTTTAACTTCACAAGTACAAGTAACCTTTAACCCTATGAGTATATCTATTTAACTTTAAAACTATTGAATACATCTCTTTAACCTTTAACCCCATGAGTACATCTAACCTTTAACCCCTTGATTACGGCTATTTAACCTTTAACCCCATGCGTACAGCGACTATAAACTTCATGAGTAGCCCCCTAATTGCCCCCTGGGCGAGCAGAATGCAAATGTCCCCTTCCTCTCTCCCTTACGACTTTACATATCTCAGTACCAGACGCCTGTACTAGTCTTTGGAAACTTCCTAATGACATGGGAGTTAGCTTTTTTATCCCCACCCCCTACCCTTCATGCCCCAGCCCCGCCAGGGTATTACGCTGACCTCAAGAAAAAAATCCCCCATCCAATTAAACTTAAAAAGTTGAGTACGGTTTGAATCTCGCACGAAATCTCTTTTTATTGGAGAGCTACGGAGTAAAGTTGAGCAATGGGTGGGGGGGGGGGCTGGGTCGGTGTTTTGGGAGTTCTAGAACTTGATCCTACATGTTCTTCGTGAGACGAACGTAAATTGAGCTACAAAAGATGAAGGGTGGGGGTAGGGGGATGTCAAGAACTGCTGCTTAACTGTGTGTGTGTGTTTGTGCGTGTGTGTGTGCTTGTGCGTGTGCGTATGTGTTTGCTTGTGTTTATCCGTGTGTGTGTGTGTGTTTGTCCAAGTGTGTGTGTGTTTGTCCAAGTGTGTGTTTGTGTGTGCGTGTGTGTTTGTTTGCCCGTGTGTGTGTGTGTGTATGTGTACAACTGTCAACATCTAACGCCCGACCCATCACGACTTAGTCTCGCTGTCACAAGTCTAGATTATTGTCACGTGAAAAAAATATTCCGTGAATAATTAAAGAAAGCCTTGAGATGCAGCGTGTTTTTGACTACAATATACTGGCTTTAAGGGGGTTTGGGTGAGTATGCCAAGCTAAATCTTGTAGTTAGCCTGGTTAAATCTAACAGTTGGGCCTGGTTAAATCTAGTAGTTAGTCTAGCTAAAGCTAGTAGTGAGCCTGGCTAAGTCAAGTTGTTAGACCAGCTAAAGCTATTAGTTACCTACATATAGATCGATGTCAAGCGTGAATACCAATTACATTTTTTCTGCAACATAAGCAGTCATATACAATACAGGGTGAGGGGGTGATAGGGGACGTTATGGAAAGGGGGGGGGTGAGTTAAAAATAGAAATATGTGTTGGGTTTCGTGGTTTGAGAAAAAGTGTGCAGGGACGCCTGGGTCAACAGACTGGGTATTGGGTTTAGCTGAGTCGTGACTCGGGCAGATCTTCGCCCTCGTACTGGGTGTTTGTGTGTTCTACGTCACCAGCGGCTGTGCACACAGTTTAAACGTGTGAATAGACAGAGCTGTTGTCACATGTTAAACGTGTGAATAGACAGTGCTGTTGTCACAGGTTAAACGTGTGAATAGACAGTGCTGTTGTCATAGGTTAAATGTGTGAATAGACAGAGCTGTTGTCACAGTTTAAACGTGTGAGTAGACAGAGCTGTTGTCACAGGTTAAACGTGTGAATAGACAGAGCTGTTGTCACAGGTTAAACGTGTGGACAGACAGAACTGTTGTCACAGGTTAAACGTGTGAATAGACAGTGCTGTTGTCACAGGTTAAACGGGTGAACAGACAGAGCTGTTGTCACAGGTTAAATGTGTGAATAGACAGTGCTGTTGTCACAGTTTAAACGTGTGAGTAGACAGAGCTGTTGTCACAGGTTAAACGTGTGAATAGACAGAACTGTTGTCACAGGTTAAACGTGTGAATAGACAGAGCTGTTGTCATAGGTTAAATGTGTGAATAGACAGAGCTGTTGTCACAGTTTAAACGTGTGAGTAGACAGAGCTGTTGTCACAGGTTAAACGTGTGGACAGACAGAACTGTTGTCACAGGTTAAACGTGTGAATAGACAGTGCTGTTGTCACAGGTTAAATGTGTGAATAGACAGAGCTGTTGTCACAGGTTAAACGTGTGAATAGACAGAACTGTTGTCACAGGTTAAACGTGTGAATAGACAGAGCTGTTGTCATAGGTTAAATGTGTGAATAGACAGAGCTGTTGTCACAGTTTAAACGTGTGAGTAGACAGAGCTGTTGTCACAGGTTAAACGTGTGAATAGACAGAACTGTTGTCACAGGTTAAACGGGTGAACAGACAGAGCTGTTGTCACAGGTTAAATGTGTGAATAGACAGTGCTGTTGTCACAGTTTAAACGTGTGAGTAGACAGAGCTGTTGTCACAGGTTAAACGTGTGAATAGACAGAACTGTTGTCACAGGTTAAACGTGTGAATAGACAGAGCTGTTGTCATAGGTTAAATGTGTGAATAGACAGAGCTGTTGTCACAGTTTAAACGTGTGAGTAGACAGAGCTGTTGTCACAGTTTAAACGTGTGAGTAGACAGAGCTGTTGTCACAGGTTAAACGTGTGAATAGACAGAGCTGTTGTCACAGGTTAAACGTGTGAATAGACAGAGATTTTGTCACAGGTTAAACGTGTGAATAGACAGAGCTGTTGTCACATGTTAAACGTGTGAATAGACAGTGCTGTTGTCACAGGTTAAACGTGTGAATAGACATGTTTTTCAGTTTAAATTTGTGAATAGACATAGCTAACGTATTGGTTGTACTCCAACAGTTATTGAACACATCCCGACAGCTGAGAGGTGGTGAGAATAACACCATTAGTAGTAGGATGGTGACATCCTACACAGCCAGTTAGTGACACCATGGTGTCCTATTACACCAGCTCACCATTACCACCACACGTTTAAACCCATTCTCGCCGCTAACCCCATGCTTTGCCTTGTCTATGCAGTTCTAAAAATAGATTTAACCAAGATGCTACATTTTAACACGTTTTTATTAACTCAGCTTCGCGTGTGTTTGTTGTTAAAATTGACATCGAAAATTAGCCCACTTCTGATTGCTCTATAGACCTGAAATTTGGCATGCATGCTACTTTCGCCTAACAATTTCAGATGCAATCATAAAAACTAGCAATTAGAGACCGTAATTAGCTTAATTTAATTACGCCCCAAGGACCATAAAATTGAGGACATGATTTCTAAAGATACCGACAAGACTGGAGGCTTATCGACACAGTTACTTCGGCCCCAATCGATGTGAGCGCGCTGG